CAAAAGGGAAATTCAAGAGGGAGATTGATTTTGATTTACTTAGCAATGGCGTCGAAACCCCAGCTGGTCCTTTTGGGTTACGTAGACGAGCAAATCACGTCCAAATATCAGCAAGTTGTGAATTTTACCACGAGTAAAATCGGTGGTGCTCCTGTGAGTATCACGTTAATTTCATTGAGAGTATATTTTCCCAGTAATCTCTTGCTCATGTCAATGTAAATTAAGTGTTATTTCCCTTATATTTATAGAACATACAGGAGCTATAAAGGAAAGTCTTTCTTAATGCAATTAACACGCCGCCAATTTTTGACATAATTTAGAGAATTAATAAGATATTTTCTTTCTTCTTTCGATCACCGTTACTATATAATTCGTTTTAATGTTCTCTCCTGTCTGTATAGCATATTAAAGTATGTAATATTTGAAATCACAAAACAAGTAATGAAATTGTGTTATTACATACCAGTTGTCATTGTAATCTGCAATAATTTTACTAATTTATTTTCTGTAGTGAGTTGCTCGATGACAAGTGACTGATCACTGATAACAGAATCCCTTGATTAGTATTATCACTGATGATACTGCTTTCGAACCTAACTAAATCCAACTTGTTTGTGTAAATCCTTTGTTAAGTGTGCCTTTAGTTAATTAGTTATGGAGAAAGAAGTCACAGCTTCTCAATCCTCATTATGCATATTAGAATGATAAGTTGTATAATCTGTTCATTAGATACTGTCAGTCAATCATGAGATCAATTCTTTGTTAAGGTTTCTTTGTTTCAAATAGGCCTAGGGCAGTTAGGCTTTGATTATGATGTGGAAGTCTTTCTAAGGGATGTGTCAGCGGCAGAAAATATTTAGATTTCTGCCTTTCCAAGTGAAGTTGAAATAATGATAGATTTATTTTGATTTAAAATGTGCTCCTTAGATTTGCACAATTATTTTTTTGTAACCATATGGCCTTCCTTTATGTATGTAGATTAATTTCTCTACATATTTTTTATAACAAAATACAGTTATTAATTTATATTTTGTGTACTTAGTTGTTAATATTTCTGCTAGATTTCAAAGGATTTTCATTATTGTATCTGATGTGAATACCAGTAGCTATACTATATCCCTCATAATAAAAAGGCCTGGGCAGGTGTCACTAGCAATTTTGTAGTGAAGATTTTCTGCTTATCTGATTAATGGTCTTTTATTTCAATAAGGTGAAATTATCGAAAAGCGTTATCCTTCAGTTGAGTTGAGTGTAGGCCAGAGCACCCTGGCTACTACTACAAAGGATTGGTATCATAAGTAGTATAAGATATACATTTTTCAAACAGACCTAAATGACCTGACAAATGATAATTCCTCTACATTTACTAGTTGATATATGTATTAATATATATATATATATATATATATATATATATATATATAATATATAATGTAATTATATATGTATGTATATATATATATATATATATGTATATATATGTATGTATATATATATAGATAGATATATGAATATATAATATATATATATATATATATATATATATATATATATATATATATATATATATATATAGAGAGAGAGAGAGAGAGAGAGAGAGAGAGAGAGAGAGAGAGAGAGAGAGAGAGAGAGAGAGAGATAGATAGATAGATAGATAGATAGATAGATAGATAGATAGAGATACATACATATATATATATATATATAATATGTATATATATATTTAAATGTATAATTATATATATATATATATATGTATATATGTATATATGTATATATATATATAATATATATATATATATATATATATATATATATATATATATATATATATATATATATATATATATATTTATAATATATGTACAAATAATATACATTTATATATTCATACATTATCAAATGTGTAAATTTATATCTATATATCTATATCTATATCTATATATTCATACCTATCTAACTATATATGTATCTATCTATACACATTTATATATATATATATATATATATATATATATATATATATATATATATATATATATATATATATATATATATATACCTGTTTAGCCTTTTCCTTGGTTTTAGTAAATAGTATTAGCATTGGAAAAAAACTCTCCTGGACATGCAAGGAAGTCACATTTTGCTCTCAAACAAGTGTTAATTATTGTTTATCTACCACAAATAGACACAGTTATAAGTGAAAAGGATGTTTTCACACAGTGTATGTGGAATGTTTATATATGATTCTTTTAAAGATACCTCTAAAATTGTATGAAGACAATGAAGGAACCCATTACTCATATTAACCCAATGTCGACGGGAAAATGGTGCGTTCCCTTTGGCAATGCTTAGTTAAATGTTTCTGCACATAGATGGGTCTGCCAATGCTTAGCCACAAAGGAGTCAATTAGTAGATCTTGCGACCTCACTTTTCCTTGAAAAAGTGGAAAATGTATTTTTTTTTTATTAATGCTATCAATATTGACACTGTTATTTTTGTTATAAACATCATAGTTACTATATTGTTACTGACATACTAACAGCAGTATTAAATATTAGAAAACCTTGTGGAGCCATCTATATGTAAAAACAATTTATAAATTCAACACACACAATGGGCAATGGCATGTACGTACATGCCATGCCCGGTGGCTTGGGGTTAAGGTCAGTTTGGTAGCATATAGTTATTTATTATAATATATCTATAAGGAAAGCCAGTCAGCAGTTGTTCCTCTTTTTATAGGATTGGTGTATAAGTGGTTCATCAATTCCAATATGCAAGAGATGTGGGAGAAGACAGTCTTTAGTGATTCAAATCTATTGCCCGTTGGAAGGGAGCCCATACCATCGCACACTCTTCATCTTTGCTTGTGTTACGCAGGAGTGCTGGAACCGTCCCCATAGGTAGGAGTTTGCCCATGGTTTTGTGAAACTATGGTTGACAATTTTTGTATGTTTTAGAATTGATATTGTTCATATTTATTTATATAACTAAAAAGGTATCTAAGTCATACATAGATATATATACTTTATACATACATTTTTTATTCATGGGAAATATTATGCACACTGATGATAGATTTTGGTAATTTTTACTATCCAGTTATGAAATTATTTTCATAATTGTATTTTCATAAAAAAGGTGGCTTGCTTTTGAGGTATACTGAACAAGGCCGTAACATATTTTTATCAGATATTTATGTAAAAATTCTCACTGAGGGTAATTGATTTCCTATATCATATTTCATTCATACCCACACTCATTACTCACTTCAGTACTCAACAGTTTATATAACATTCTTATTTTTAGTTCACAATTATTCGGTCCCATTCAAACATTATTTAATTCCCTTTAGATATAATTTTGCACTTCTTCCCTTCCTCCACCCCTCTTAATTCCTCCGTCGTACCTCCAGCTGGACCTGTCTAAGAAGCCAGATCCCAGATCCCACTTCATCCAAGACGTCCCTCCCTAGCACCAAGGCCGTTCCCCCCCAGTCAGCGGGAGGGGAGACTTGGTTTGAGGATGACGATGACTGGGGTAGTAATGACAATGATGGCAATGGCAACGCGGACAACTATAACTTCGCCTCATCATCGCAGCTGTACCTGGACAATATGGCCAAGAAGCCTGATGGCATGAGCAACCTAAATAACATGAACTCCAACACATCATCAATCACCGAGGTTGCGCAGAGCATGGAGAGTAAGCTGAACATTATCGAGGTATGATATCAAATTGATATAATGGTATTCTTAATTCATTTGATTCAGGTGACAGAGATATCTTGTCTTTAGACATCCTTGGGTGAAGACTCCCATCTTGGAGGCTTGGCCTACAAAACACTCACATGCATTATAAAGACTCCTTACTTCCCTTTGCAATGCTGACATTCCATTTTTGCTGTTTTTCCATTTTCCAAGGTCTGTATTTTTCATTTGTTATGCTGTATCAAGATGATGATAAGACTTTTTGTTTGGCAAACCATATTTTCTTGCCAGGTAGTTTACACTCTTTACAAAAGTAGTAACTACAAATAACAGGCATAATTGATGGCTGGTAAACTTCACCCTTGTGGAATGGTGAAAATCCTACAGGAGCTCATGAACTTCCCCCTTTTCATGAAGGCCTGCATGGTCAGTCTCACCATTTGCTCATGACAATACATTTCAGTAAACTGCCTATCAATCAAATTTTTTCCATGACAAGGAGATCCACCCATCCCTTGGCCAGTTTTAGTCTTGGCAAGATATCCATGTCATTCATGTCCATATATGATGTATATATGTATTTTTTTACCCACTCTCAGTTTATTTGCTACAGATACTGGTAATTGTTCATAACCTTTAAATCTGCAAATCATATATACCCACAAGGATTTTTATAAAACATACCAAAAGGCACATTACCACTTCAAGGAAATATAACAACTCACTCTTGCTCTCAGGGGGATGCCAATGCTAATGAGGCCCTGTGTGGTGCTGTGGGTATTGTTGGGTGTGGTGGAGAAGGAGTAGAGGCTTCGGCTGTGATTGAAGGCTCCGAAGAGGACATGATTGCAGTGGACACACCCGAGCAACCGACGACTGACATCCCAGCTCTGTTTCAGGTAAGTTTGAAGGCTTGCATTAGGGATTGTGGATGAGTAAAGGTAGGAGGAAGGGGGGGTTTAGCATGATTGTATAGATGGGTGGATTAGTGAATGGGTTGATGGAAGATGGTGAATGATGAGCAGATGAGTGTAGTTATAGGAAGGTACTTGGTAAATGGATAGATGAAAATAATGAAGACAGGCAGATATCCAGACTAAATATAAGATTTTTTTTTTTTTTTAGTATAACCCAGGTATCAACATTCTGAAGTTAATCATAATTTTTTTTTGAGGTTATCATGATTTTATTCTTGTCCCTTATATATCTGTTATAAAATTTTTTCTGTCTCTATGTTAATAGGAAGCAGCCCAGATAGATGCCAATGCAGATGTGACTTTCATTCCCTACTTCCTGTCAAGTGAAATAGAACCACCAGAAGATGTATCATTTACAGACCATGAGAGAGAACTTTTGGTGCGCTACACTCATAGCACAGGACATGACTTCAGAGAGGAGGTAATACTTGAATTTTTTTATTAGAGCTGAATTCAAGTTATATGACTACTCATACTGCATGTTCATTTCTTTGTTCGTTTTTGTTGAAGTCTTCTTCAGAAATATTTAATTTCTCCCAATGTATTTCCTCTTTTGTAGAAAAAGTTTGAATGAGAATGAATATCTTCACAATACAAGAGATGTCTTTGACCAGTTTCAAATGTATTTCTGACAAAGATATATTCGAAACTGGCCAAATACATCTGTTGTATTGTGAAGATATTCATTCTCATTCATACATTTTCTACATTTCTCAACATGAATATGCTTCATTGTATTTCCTCTTTTTTTTCATTTTCTCTGTCTCCTTCCTCCTCACTGTTTCCTTCATACACCTAGTTTACTGTATTAGATGATCAGATATGTGATATTTTGATGATATTTTATATTTTGATACTTTATAGATGTTTTGATAATACATTGTAGATATTTTGATAATACTTTATAGATATTTTGATGATAGTTTTTAGATGTTTTGATTATATTTTATAGATATTTTGATACTTTATAGATATTTTGATAATACTTTGTAGATATTTTGCTAATACTTTATAGATATTTTAATGATATTTTATCACTATTTTGATAATACTGTATAGATATTTTGATAATACTTTATACATATTTAATAATACGTAATAACTATTTTAAGATAGATAGCTACAAATTAAATATTTTTGTTAAAGTCAAATCCGTGATCCACAAACTCTAATTATCTCCAGGAAAATGCAGGCGGAGGTGAGGGGAAGGGAGATGGTGTTTACGAGAAGGATGTAGCCATCCATGGAGATGTACTACTTCACAAGTTCAAAAAAAGGATCTCGCGCAGTCCACAGCAAGTGATGAGGTAGGAGGACAGGTTATATATTTTTTGAGGTTGTGATTTTGTGGACATTGCTTCAATATTCTGAGTGATAGTTATGGCTTTAAATTGCATTCTTGCCTTCAAGTATGTATAGTGAGATTGATTTTGACATATGGAAGGATTATCTGATGGATGTATTTTGAGTGTTTAATTCTGTGGCAAAAGTAAAAGAGTGTGTTATTAGAGCATTTTATTGCAAGTACTTCTGTCTGGATAAAGGGAAGTATTATTTTAGCTGTTATCCTTGTTGGTATTTAATTGTACACTAATGAGGAGGTCTGACTATATTAACAGGCTGGCATATGTTTCTAGATATCCTCCTCCATCTCCACCTACTGCATCTAAATTTTATCCCTCTCTAATGCTTTAATGCCTTGGGAAGTTACTAATAAGCATGGGTTAATGCCTTATGACAAAGCAGATATAAATTTCATCTTGTTTAAGATGCCATTGTTTTATATAATTTACTCTAGTATTTATTTAATAAGATGATAGGTACTTTGTATTAGATAGGCTACCTCTCATAATGTTGAGTATAAAACAAAAGTTTCATAAGGAAGACCCATCCTTTTATACAACCCCATTTTATTTGCATCAGGTATTGTCGAGAGGAAGGTGCGTCCCCGCTCTGGTTGCGTCCCCCAGGAGCCAGTGATGTGGCAACCAAGTGCCAACACTGTGGAGGCAGCATGGTCTTTGAACTGCAGCTGACACCACAGATGATCATCCATCTGCGAGTTTCAGGAGTCCAGGGTACACCTTTAGAGTTTGGAACTGTGACGGTGTTTACTTGTTTAGCGTCTTGTTGGTCGGATAAAGACACAGTTAGACAAGAAGCAATAGTTGTCCAAAGTGAAGTCATTTAAGTAACCATTTTTAGACACAAGTCCAAAGAGAAAGTTCATCACAACATATGGAATAATAGATGCTTGCCCCAAAACATGTTTATTAGGATTTTTTTTATTTATTTTGTTTGTTACCTTGTTTTTTTCCTTATATATTTAAGTCCTGAATGTGTTGAGCAACACATTTAGATTACATAACTGAATAAGGTAGGAAAAGTAAAATGGAGGAAGATTTGAGTAAACACAGCAATTTCATTACATTAAATAATATGTTTTACTTTTTATTTAACGGCAATAAATATGAAAGGCTAGTCTCCTATCAAATTAAGAATTTCCATTTGATGTTGTAAACTGTGAGCAAATGCTGTGATTAGCATTGTTTGTAAAGTCTAACCACTATAATTAGGGGAATATGATGGTAAAATTGATGACATAATTGAAGATATATGCCAAATAGGTTTAATCTTATGATTTTGTTGGTGAGATGAGGACTTCCAGTAGAGAAATATGTTAAGAAATAACATTTCTCTTAGCAGTTGAAAGAATAAAGGAAAATAGTTCATATAATTCATGTTTTGTAGAACTTTTGGGGCAGCAGTTTTTTTGTTAACATCTAAGTTAATAAATATTTATTTTTTGTTCTGTATGTTTATTTTCTTATGTTTTGTTCTGGCCATTTACATTTTGATAATAGTTCACATATGATACATCTCATTATCACTGACAAATATTTTGAGGTCTGAATAAAGAAGAAAAAAATAAAAAAAATAAGATAAGAAAAAGACGAGGAAAGAAATACATGTAGCATGCAATCACCAAAGACCTTAATAAACCTATTTATATTACCACTGCTCATATTGTCAAAAATGAAAACTGTTTAGGAATATATAAATATGTGTGTGTGTGTGTGTGTGTGTGTGTGTGTGTGTGTGTGTGTGTGTGTGTGTGTGTGTGTGTGTGTGTGTGTGTGTGTGTGTGTGTGTGTGTGTGTGTGTGTGTGTGGTGTGTGCGTGCGTGCGTGCGTGCGTGCGTGCGTGCGTGCGTGCGTGCGTGCGTGCGTGCGTGCGTGCGTGCGTGCGTGCGTGCGTGCGTGCGTGCGTGTGTGCGTGTGTGTGTGTGTGTGTGTGTGTGTGTGTGTGTGTGTGTGTGTGTGTGTGTGTGTGTATCCATATGTTAGAGAAGGGAGAGATAGAGAGATAGTGAGAGGGAGAGGTAGTGAGTGAGTGAGTGTGTGTGTGTGAGTGAGTGAGTGAGTGAGTGAGTGAGTGAGTGTGAATGAGTGAGTGAGTGAGTGTGTGAGTGAGTGAGTGAGTGAGTGAGTGAGTGTGAGTGAGTGAGTGAGTGAGTGATGTGAGTGAGTGAGTGAGTGTGTGAGTGAATGAGTGAGTGAGTTGAGTGAGTGAGTGTGGATGAGTGAGAGTGAGTGAGTGTGTGAGTGAGTTGAATGAGTGAGTGAGTGTGAAGGAGTGTGTGAGTGAGACTGAGAGAAAGAAAGAGAGAGAGACTGACTGAGATGACTGAGAGACTGAGAGAGAGAGAGAGAGAGAGAGAGAGACAGAGACAGAGACAGAGACAGAGACAGAGACAGAGACAGAGACAGACAGAGAGACAGTAGGAAGAAATGAGATGTTTTTAGCTTGCTTGTATACATGCATTCATACATGTGTATTTTTGAGTATGAACACACTGGTCTAACACGATGGTTTGCAGGATCAAAATATAAATCATTTAAGATATCCTTATGATTATCCTTATTTATTCATTATTGCTGTGTATTTTTGATGTGTGTTTAAGATTTGTACAGACAGAAATAAGAAAGAGAAAGAAATATATATAGTAAATATTCCAAAGGCTATTAAATAATCTGTCTTGTTAGATAATCATTATTTTGATTGTACAGACCATTTACAAAGACAGTTATATTTTGTAGTGCGATGCAGTTGAAGGAAAATATGATAAATGATCATAGTTGACTGATTTATATGTGGTCCAGTATGATGTACTGTGTGGCTTGACAAGTGTTGAAGCTATGCTTATTGATGTGGAAATCAGAAGAAACATAATTTCTGTGATATACTGATGATATGGCAAAGATATATTTATATGCCATAAATGACTAATAATGATTGCATCACAGCTCAGGACACACTGGTGTTGTTACTTCACACTTGCATACTTAAGAGAAATTAAAACCAGACCATTTTTCCATGGAGTGTAGCATGACACTCAAGCATAAATGAAAATGTGATATTACTCCTACTGTATTTGCCAAGTCACCTGCATTGTCCCAGCTTATTCTTTATTTTCACTATTTCCAACCTAAACTTGATGCAAATGTTATTTTTCATAAAGTGATGCATATACACATGCATACCCCACACCAGCATTCACATATATTTATATATTGTCCACACATACACATTCACGTATTGTAAATGAACCCTTCAATACAATGTATTTTATACATGTTGCTGTGACTGTAATGTGGTTATTTACACTGATATTGTGTTGATATCTTTGATATATTCTTATCATTGTGTCAAGAACAATAGAGCATATGAGAGATTACTTGGTAATTAAGATAAACGATGATATTATGTTGATGAAACTTTTAATTGCACAATTTGGGATGAATGCTGGGTAAGTGATATTTAATCAAAGCTCAGTTATTGCGGTTTCTCATTCAGCGCTTTGAATCATATTAACTTGAGAGAGTAAAAGTAAAAGGAGATTATTATATTTATGTCTTAAGCTTGAAAACCTTATATAGGTTAGGTAAGTTAGGTTGCTATTGAGCTTCCAGTTCAGAATATCAATATATTTGATGTTAAAAGAACTTAGAATATATTGGTAATAATGCTCATAGAATTATTTGTCCTATAAGAGTTATTCTAGTCAGAACTTTTAAGAACCTTTGTATTCTGAGTATAATAGATGAAGTGTTACAGGTTCAACCAGTCTTGATACATTTATTACTATTATGAGGTGTATTATTATACACATATTATAATGAAAGAAATCTTACCAAAGGAAGGATAAAGTAAAGTGTATTTTTAAAGAAAAATATCAGTAGATGGTGCAGTCATAATCCCTTTTATGTCTGTCATAGCTTGTCAGAACTCTTTGGATGCCAAAAAAGGTTTTGATTTTCCAGTTATTATATCTTTTTAAGGGCTAAGGCCACAAGTTAAACGCTTATTTTTCTTGGGCATATTTGAACCATGCTGGCTTTCTGAAGTCACATTATGTGTTGTTGGTTAAATTATTATCAGTAAGTGCTTGTGGAATTAAGGAGGACATTATCTATATTTTATTGTTGTAGTTATCTGCCATGTACAATTTTCTAATTTGTACCACTACATAATAATTGGTTGTTTTTGCATCCTACAAAAAATGAATGAAAAGCATAGATATTAGGACGATATTATGAGTGACTTTTTCATTTATTTAAGCACATTGTTTACCCTCACAAGATATAATAATTTAGTGTAGAAATGTAAAAATATGACATTGAATTAAAAACTGTTTGAGAATATTTATTTGAGTAGATTATTATTATGTATATACATTTTTCTTAATTAATTATTACCATGAGATGAAACTAGATTGCTTTCTTGTGCTTTTGCCTTGGTATGTATTTTCTTCTCTTTAAAGGATTTGAATAGAATAGGAATAGGACTGTATGCCAAAGATTGATGGTGCACAAGGGATACAAGAAAAATAATGCATCCAGTTATAAAATTCCTTTTCCATAAATTGGCAATAGGTATACCATAACTTATATGCCTCCCCTTTAGTAAAAATTGAAGAATAAAAAGAAATAAAATATGATGCCATAAGATGCCAATGAGTGGGTTTTAATCTGGTCTGCGAGATTTGCAATTGGCTGTGATCATGTGTATACAGAACATACCAATAGCATCTAGAGAATGACCTAGAGTTTTAGTAAAGGGCTTTTATCTAGAAACAGATGTTAGCCAAGTTATTTATAGCTGTCTTCATATACAGGAATACTATAGGTTACCATCTGCACATGGGTAGTGTGACATTTTAAAATGATATATGAACCAGTCAAGATATAGAGAGTTATAGATATGATTAATTTAGATTTTGAAAACGTAATGCAAGGTGTTGGGATGGGTAGTGAATCATGCTTTTTAAAATCCCTAAAAGAAAATGTGACAAGAGTTGTCATTTTTGGAAGCCTCTCCATACTAGGAGAGAGAAAGAGAAAGAAAAAAATAAGAGAGAGAAGTCTGTCAATGCATTTTTAAAGAAAAATATCAGTATTTTCATGGTCATACAAGGATCCAATTGGATTGCAGTACATAATCAATCATTCTTGTTCACTCTGTCGTTTATCATTTGTGTTTTTTTCTCTCTCTTATGCGTATGTGGACAATGCTTTGCACTTTGTCTAGAAATTCTAGAGAGTATTTGGTATTAATTCTACATATTCTAAAACTTATTATTCCGTATATGTGAAAAGATGATGTTGTCCGTTATCAGTATCGGGTCAAATATTAAAACAAAATTGTCATAATTCAGTGAAAAGGAGAGGGAGATATATCTAAAATATTTTTCATGAGAAGTCAAATGGGGTAGAGGGGAGGTTACATGTTTTTAAGTGACCCAACACTCTGGAATTCATTCATGTTCATTCTGATACTGCCTTCTCTGAAGTTCATTCCTTAAGTATAAGATATCCTTCAAGCATTCCAGTTACTCGTCACTTCTCCCTTTCTGATTCCTTCCTCCCCTCTCCCCCCCTCATCACATAGCACCTGCTACCTCTAGCCCCTGCCCTCATCTTGAAAAGGTATAGCTTGGATACTCAAACACATTCCTTTATATAACTTCTTTGAGTGTTCAGGAAATTATTATGAAGTAGGTCTGTGTAAAAAAAGAATGGAGTTACTTCCCTACATTTCAACATTTGCAAAGTATTGTCTTGAATATTATAACATGGAAATGAACACCACTGCTTCAGGGTGGATTTGTTTGCTAGGGAGATCTCACATGCACACTGATTCTGTTCAACTGCAATTTTTATTACCATATGGATTCAATTATTTGGTACTGGAGAAAACACCATGTGCATATTGGACAATGGATAGTGGGTTTGAGAAATGACACACAGAAATATCCCTGATGCAAAAGATTAGAATCTTAGATTCCATTTCTCTTATTTTACTGTGATTTAATGCTGGTGCACCAACTACTTATCGTATGGCTTTGATTCTGTATATAGACGTCTATCAATATTATATGTTTTCCAAACAGAAGAATATATCATTAATGTTCGTATATGAAGTGCATGTATTAATACTATATGTTTTCCGAACAGAAGAACTATATCATTAATGTTCTTATTTTAAGTGTTATATTAAAATCAGATCCTATGTGTAGAGTTGCTTTATGTATTATTAATAGAAAAGCAAAAACTTGAGGAACTGGAAATAACTCAGGACTATCATTAAAGGTTGTGTAATTCTTTGTTATTTTGCCATCAGGGTTATTTTTGTGTCAGTGAAAATGCATAGTATTTCAGTACATTCAGAGTACATCTGTCTTTTTTGTGAGAGCTCATTACCAATGGTTCACATTCATACATTCATTTCTATAAGTATTTCCTTGGG